GCGCACGGCAAGCGCGCAAGGCCGCGCCTGTCTGTAAGTCACGGGCTAGAGGTGGATGGCGCAGTTCCTAGCCCCCTTTTAACCAAAGATGCATGCCAAACCAGGATCATCCTCCAAGCCTAAACTTCGAGGTTGCACGATTTTCGCTGGCTGGCCCGGGCGGCGGGGGCTAAGCTGCTTTCGCGGATAGTTTCGGTGACGACGAACACTGATCAGAGAATAGCGGTCCATTGCTGACACAGAATTGAAAAGAATGTTGGGGTTCCGTGTCAGAAAGGGTTCCGATATGTTGCTGTCTGGATTGCTGGTATTTGGTATGCTTGTGAAGCATTACTTTCATCGTGACTTTGAGTGGCATCCCTCTTGTGCCCGGGGCACGAGCCAACCTGTCGATTTCGATCCGATTCGCGGCAAGGGCCGCTAGCCTCAGAGATATCTACATGAATTATCTTTCTCCTTCATGTTTTGCTGTTTGTGCTGCCGCGATGGCCCATCGCAAGCGCGCAGACGTCCGAGATTTAGGGGCCACACGTTGTGATTGATATTCGTTACTGTTTGCACACACGCATTGTTCTAGGCTCGCTCGCATGGAGGCTGTCGCATGTGTTTGCCCCTCCGGACGTCAGAGCTCCTCGCCCACTCGCGCGTGAAAACCCTCATTGGCCACTTTAGCAGGTCCTACCACGTGCAGTCAGGCTTGCATAAGTCTTCACAGGGGGTTACTCTACTGCTATTGGGTTGCATCTTTAGACTTTAACTTTTGGGGAAATTCGGGGTTGTCCATTAAGCCCACAACAAGTAACACTTTTGCAGAGGGGTCAACAGCAACCAAGGTTGGTAGAACCAACGCCATGGGTTGTCGGGCGTGTACATGTCTGAGGCTATGCAATGGCGATGTCTTGCGCTGGTGATGATCACCGGCGCTGTGCGGCCCAAGGCCGCAAGGGGGGACCAGGGGTGCCACGGACACACGGGTTCCCTATAAAAGAGAATCACACACGCTCAGGTGGTGCTGTTAACAAACAAACAAACAAACAAACAAACAAACAATGATAATGGTAAATCTTTGACAGACTTTTAACGAAATATGGCATATTCGTGCAGTACAACTCTGTGCAGTCAACATTAAGTAGGCTGGGCGGGGGGGAGCCCGGGGGAGGGTGATGCCATGCACTCGACTTGCGGTGCTCATGAAGGTCCGCTGGAAAGAATGCAGTTTGTATGTCGCAAGGTCATGGCAATAGGTGCATCTCGGAGACATTGCCTTTGTTAAGAATGAGAGGATGCCCAGATTGACAATTAGAGACTATTTTGAAGGCCTTTGGCAAACCTCACAAACCAATATGCTATTACCCTAAAGAACGTTGGGTCCGCCATACGGGCAACGGTGGGTGACGGGGGGAGACGGGGCCTCGCCCGAGTCCGTTTGTGGTTGCTTGGACCTCGGCAAGCGGGACTGCTTGGTGAACAAGCCTCAAACAGAAATGAGGCAAGGCTACTTTGGATGACCCCTGTTTGGGGCTGCCCTGAAAACGAGACACCAAAAAGCAACCAGCGCTGGTAATGCCCACTTCGAGTCCAATGGGTGGTTTCAGAAAAGGCACCCCCCACCTTTGCCTGGTTTTTCCTAATGCCATCCAAACACGAGTCCCAAATTCCGCACGGCCCGAATCAGGGGCTCTTCAACCGAGCGGAAGGTTCCATTTTGCAAATGCCATTAGATCAAGAGGGGCAAAGAAGAGTAATGCCATCCCATGAGAACAATCATTTTGCTGCTGGAAGAACATGTTGAGGTCATGTTCCAAGACCTGCCGCTGTGCTTCGTGCAAGGAGTCTTCCATTGACTTGAGCCGGGAGGAGCGGTTTCAGCGGCTTTACAGGCTGGAGAATGCAGCCGACTGCGCCGAAACGAGTTTTGGGGGGTGGGGGTTTGAGGGTACCCCCCTTTTGTGGTCTTACAGGGCTGCAATTTGTTGTCCCTCAAGAAGGACATGCCCATTGGTTGCCTAATACTGATGGATTAAACCTACGGGGAGACATCACCTGACTGCTGCGAAGTGTTTCTTGCCAGGCCTCCCATGTTTGAGCCTTCCCTTTTGGGGGAAAGCCCGGCGGTTCGGGTAAAATCCAGGTCGACTTGGGAAGGGCCCAAAGGTCCCAAGAGGGTCCAAGGTTGGCTCGGGTGTTCGTTCGGGACCTGAAGCTCAAGTGCCTAGAAACGCGCTCAGAACCTCGAGGCAAGGCAAAACCCTTGCGCGCAGGAGTTGCGTATGCTATCTTGTTTTGCACGTAATGTGGATGATTCAATCACAAACTGGTGGGACAACATGTAATACCATATTCGGCAAGACCATATGCCTGGGCTTGCCCTCGCAAAGGTACCTTCTGGTAGGCGCCGTGGTGCTTGTCGGGATTGTCCTCATTTTCTGTTATGTTTTTAATTGTTTTTTTTTGGGGGGGGGGGAGGAGGGCGTGTTTCCCAATCAACAAACAAGATTGGCATGTGCACCTTCACGTCATGAGAGGGAAAATGACCTTTGACGAGGCCGAAAATATGTTCGATCCGCTTTGGGCTGCGACGTCAGCGGCAGTTTTTGGTTTCGGGATGCGCGTGCCTGGCAGTCGCTCGTTCGATTTGGATCGCCGCGATCGCCGCGATCCAAACGGCAGGCAGTACTACGCGCACTACCGGAAGGGCATCCCCCGGTCCATGCCAGGGCCTGGGCCCCTGGGGTCAATGAGGGCGGCTTCGGGAGGCTCTTGGAAAAAAGAAGCCAACAACCCCCCCCAAAAAGCACATGTTGTGAGGGTTTTTAGGGGTTTGTGATTTGTTTAGAGGCCGCACAAAAAGAGGGCTCCCTTCCAAAGGGATCTTTGGACTGGACATTCTGGGAGTTGCAAGACCCAGAATCATCGTTCATTTTATGGAGGCGCAATGGGAAATCTGATGCTGCGGGTCAAATAGGGGCCTGAAACAAGAGGGATAATCCACCCCCCTTTGTCTGTCCTTTAGGGAACTTGCGCTTTGTAGCACCCACAATCGTGTCTAAAAGATCTAAGGACCAGCAAATTGACCAGCCACGATACCAGTGCTTTCGGGAGAAGACAGCTTGTTGCGTGCCTTTCCCATAAAGGAAGGACTTGCTCTGAATTTGTCGCCAGGGCATATGGCAACGGCCTTTCAACCATTTCCTACATGCACCTGATGCTGGACCGGCTTTCACAAGGGCTTCAGAGTGATGCTGTCCCACGCATTTCAGATTCTAACATTATAATCTTGGTGGATGGTGTATCTCTTGCCAAGCAAAATGCACTTTTGGCGTGGGATTTGTGATGAACTCCTTGCCACCTTCAAAGTCCCCGTTGAAATGGCTGGGAACTAACAAGGGGGTGGCAAAGCAAATGGCGCCTTCGACCCGAATTCTGGCTGAACCGGGGTCGGGGGCAAAAGCAACATTGGGGGGGGGGTAACGCTTTGGGAGTGCCGGTTTCCTGTAGGTGTTCTTTGTCTTTTTGCTGCCTTTGCCCTTAGGAGTATCCCAAGCCGAATTGGCCCAAAAGGAGATGCAGCCACCCAAAAGGAAATATAAGTGTATGTGAAACACTATTTGTATTGACACAATATAGGGAGCCCTGACACAAAACCACCCCAGCAAAATAGATTCAGCGCACAAACAGTGAATTTGCAACCCTTGTACCTTTCAGTTTAGAAGACTGCATTAGGCGTGGCTGCTCTTTGAATCTTGAACCTTCAAGCTTTGACTTGAGTGCTTCACTGAAAATTCCCCACTGTGACAACCCACATTGTGAATTAGCATGGGGTTGTTTGCCTCACTCTTAGTGGTCCGGATCTTCGCTGGGACGCCCCGTTTGCCCCTTTTCTGTGGGAGCTTCCCTTGCAAGTCAAGTACCCAAAACCAGATCCCTGCCTTTTCATGGTTCTGCAACCGGGCGCTCCTTCTGGTTTGTGTCCAAAGTAGGATGTCTCCCCCCAAATGGGTGGTTTCCTCATGGGATCACTTTAGAACACGAACCCTCAAAAGACTCACCCACAGGGGTGATGTCCTGAGGGGGGTGGGCCGCACTGCCACACTCATGGTCACCCATCTAGTTTTTGGGATGCCGCCTACGCACCCATATTCAGACCGCAAAGGACAGGAACTTCAGGGAAGAGCGCACTTCAAAATGGACAAGCTCAAGAAGACAATTGGGGAGAATGGTTCTAGGAAGTTTCGAGCGAGTGATCAAGTTCTAACTAGATGCCAGCGATGTTTTGACTTGAGAGGTTTCAGAGACCTTCTTTGCCATTTGACACCCAAGGGGCAGAAAGCCAGAGCATGCCAAAAGGGCTAACAAGTCATCCGGCTTCCCTTTTGGATGGGACACCCTTGCCTTCCCATCGGTCCTTTTGTCATGCACCGAAGCGAAGAGGTGGCTGGCCTATCACCTTATTAAACTCTTAAGGCCGCAAGGAGAGATTAGGGCGAAACGCCTTGGCAAGGGACAGCCCCCCTCCCGTGACTCATCACCACCAACCACTACTAGCACCACCGCTCGCACCCCCGCCCCCCCCCCCCCGTGTCTTGGACTGTTCCGGACAGTGCGACAAGCCCTTTGTAAGACTATTGAATAGAGGGGTCAATTGGGTCAATGTAGTACACACATTGTCCCGAACAATGCAAGCAACCCCCCCCCGCCTCCCTTTCAAGGTCCCATGAATTTGCCGATAGGCTGGCCGCCCGTGAGATCCCGCTGCAGTTCGAGTTCGAGGTGTCCAAGAGGATGTATGGCCTAGGCCTCAGACGCTTTGCCCTCGTCGGGTCTCTGAGTCAGGGGTTCTATGAAGTTGAACACCCATTCGGGGTGGTTTTAAAGGGGAACCAACGGGAAACCCACATTTTGTGTGGGTCCCTTTCATGGAAACTAAAGGTGGTGTTGCTTTGAGGGTAGCAACCTTGGAAGATGGTCCCTTGTGCCAGCCCAGTTGCCATGTTCGCGCGGTTGATGGTCTTGTGGCATGTTGATTCCATGTCTCGGCCTCACAGGGTTGTAGAAGACTGGGTTTTAGGTTGCCACTGAACACTTTGGTACCATGCGAAGCCCGAAAACGTGGTTGTGTCTTTGTGGAAGTATCAACTGCGATGTCATAGCCCTTTTAAGGGTCTCCAGCTTAGAATTATGTGCCTGCTGGTTTCGTTTCCATGGACGGTTGAAGCAGTTTCCAACTTCACTGCTTCATTACCATAAGAAGGGTGTTCCGACTCAGGGTTCCTGCTCTTTGGGTGGGACACCTGACTTCTGAACGCCGCGTGTTGCAGGAAGGGCCACCCAAGTTAGCTGCGTCAGGAACCAGTCAGACACTTTTTGACAGGACGGCAAAGAAGCTACCAAAGGGGAGCCTCTGTTTCTCTGGCAACGAGCACCAGAAGCAACAAGTGAACCCCAACCTACCCTGAACCTACCCTGAACCTACCCGAAAACCAACCCCACACCTCCTGGACCCGCCTCAACCCGCGGTTTGGGGACCGGTTTGCAGTGACCCCGCCCCCTGCGACCGAGTCATGAACATGACGCCGGAGAGTCTGCTGGCGCGGGGCGGCATCACCTCAGAGGACATCGCGCCTTGGCTTCGCCGCCGAAAGCCTCGGCTTCAGAAAAAGAAGTACCCAAAAGGACCACCCCAACTTTGGAGCGCCCATTTTTTTGTTAGTCTCGTCTTTGTGGGGTTGTTCAATTCAACAAACTGTCATGTTGGAAAGTGGAGGGGTTGTTCTTTTTTCCCTGAGCCGCAAAGAAGAAACGCCTTTTGTCATGCCAAGGTTTCCAAAGTTGGCTCGAACTTCGCCCACGTTGAAGCCGCTTGTGGTGGGAATGCATTGCCAGACTTGGCCGACCTGTTTTTCACTTGCTGCCCTTGTTTGTTTTCGTTCACGGTGGATGCCCTAAATATCCCTGATCCTGCAAGTCAGTAAACAAGGAGACCACCTAGTTGACCATCGTTTAACTACAGTACTGTCAGTTATGTGGTGGAGTGTGGTTGGTTTTGGCATCAACCGTTCCTTTCAACCATTCATTCAATTGGTGCGAAGTCCCAACCAACCAAAACACGTCCCCTGCAGATCATCGTGGAACCCACATTCGTCCTCAAAGAACCTTAGTTTTCGGGGTGCCAGGGGAATTTGCGGGGGAGTTCTTGGGGCCGTTGAAGAGATTTGTTAGCACGGTTGCAAAAGAACCTAGTTTCATAGGTCGATGTTCAGGCTTTAGCATCTTTCGGCCAATCAACTCGATCGGACTTGAGTTTCTTGCACACTACCTACTTCTCCTCCTTGTGAGGGATATTTTCGACCTGTGGATGAACGAATCCTGAGCTGGTAGGTGGTTTGTGCCAGAATTGCAGGGTTTGTGCATCTTGCCCGCAGGACTTTGGCCATCCGTGTGCTAGGTGTTGGTTCCATGTTGGACATGTCTGGTGCGAGTCCACTAGACATGAACCCCAAACAGGGATCCTCCACCCCAGAGTCGCTGGTTGCTACTGGATCTTGAGTGTATTCGGAAACTAGCATTTTGGTCAAAATCGGGAACCCTCAACATTTTTGCGGTTTCCTTTTGGTGGCCCCGTAACAACAAGGGAGGCGTTCCTCGGACCATCGCATCCCATCGTTAGGTTTCTTGGGCGTTCTGAGGACCTCGGCCCAGTGTTCGAAAGCGGCTCCAAGTGGTGGTACATCGAGGCGGATGGCCGCTCAGCCGGAGCGGTGGGTGGGTTCCTGTGGGTTTCCAGGCAAGGGACACTCCCAGCCATAATATGGCCGGGATAGATAGGTGTGTTTTTGTTTTTTAAGGGCACGCCATTTTGTGGCCTTAAAGGGAAACCAACAGAAGCACCGTCATTTTAGTGGCCCCCGAAAAGACACCGGCTTTGATTACGACCCAACTCGGAAAAGGAACCCACAAAACAAGGGTCTCTTCCAAACATACTTTTATTACTTTTAGTGTTCTTGTTTTGTTCTTCTTCTTTTTCTTGTTTTTTTTTGGGGGGGAAATAGAGGAAACAACATCTGAGAATCTGAAGAAGTTTTGTTTCGTGTACCCTTGGATCGGGCCATGAAAATGGCGGTTTACACGTATACTCTGCAATTGTTTGAATGTTACAGGTTAAGAGACAGAATCGCGTTGAAACGTACTCGCCCAAAGTGGATATGCTTCGGTGTCCTCTTGGTTTCCCTGGAAGAAACCGAAAGGGTACCGAGCCTCAAAGCAAGCACACCCTGGCCTCTTTGGAAGAGAAGATGGAGACTGTGGAAGGGGAACTGCTGGGCATTCTAGGTGGACACTGTGGGTTTGTGGGATCTGGCACTGTGCAATGGTCTCCGAGTGTCCATGAGGGGTGCTTGCCCCAGAGGGAAACGAGGCTTTGCCTTCGTTTCGGGCTGATGCCCCTGTAAAAAAGGGTCGCCGTTGGGTCGGCTGCTTTGGACCCTCAAATGCATCCTTGTTTTTAGTTCGGAACATGTTTAGAAACACGAGGTTTAGGCTCCATGGGGCGTAAATCTCGAAGGTTTGGCCCAGCACGTTCTAATAAACGGGCTCCAGCTCGTACCAAATGACAAAACCTGAAGCATTCTAGATCTCGACCTCATTTGTGGCAACGCATGGGTGACTCAACCAGTACGCCGTTTAGAGTTATCTTGTTTTTGGACTGTGCTAAACGGAAAGCCAAAGCGCAACCACCGCGGTCCCTGGTTTGAGACAAGCCACATTGGCTTGCTCGGGCTTCCCAAACGAGTAAGCTGTTCGTATTGCACCCGGCACTTACTTAAATTCCTATTGCTCCTCGTTGTTAGGTGGGACACTTTGTGGGCCAGGTCATGTTGACCTTCACATATGTTTTTTTTCCTGGAGGGGTACCACTATCAATGTCAGACTTGCTGGTGCCGAGGGAATGACCTGCCGCGTGTTCGGAATGAAACGGAAGGGGATTCATGTCGGATCATTCCATTTCTCATTCCCTGCCTATCGAACCAGCAAGTGCAGGTGCGGCATTGCAACCCGAGCCGCGAGCCCAAGGTCTCGGCAGCAAGCACCACCAGATCTTGCAGGGCTTGCCGGAAGCCAACAGCGCGGCCTGGCGCGGCACCGATGTTTCCTGTGATTGTGTTTGTTTTTTTGCGCGCGTGTGTGTGTGTGTGTGTGTGTGTGTGTGTGTGTGTGTGTGTGTGTGTGTGTGTGTGTGTGTGTGTGTGTGTGTGTGTGTGTGTGTGTGTGTGTGTGTGTGTGTGTGTGTGTGTGTGTGTGTGTGTGTGTGTGTGTGTGTGTGTGTGTGTGTGTGTGTGTGTGTGTGTGTGTGTGTGTGTGTGTGTGTGTGTGTGTGTGTGTGTGTGTGTGTGTGTGTGTGTGTGTGTGTGTGTGTGTGTGTGTGTGTGTGTGTGTGTGTGTGTGTGTGTGTGTGTGTGTGTGTGTGTGTGTGTGTGTGTGTGTGTGTGTGTGTGTGTGTGTGTGTGTGTGTGTGTGTGTGTGTGTTTGTTTTGTGTTTTTTTCCCTTCGGGGGCGGGTCCTTTTACGAACCAACAACACAGGGGTGCCATTCATCGTTCAACTCCATTGTTCAGCAGGTAGGCGGTTTCTGGGCTGTGTTTTTGGAGTAGCCTGTCTGGAGGCCGGCGTGCGCCATTTAGAGACCCCACCCTGCCGCCAATCTCATGAAGCTGATGGGGAGTGGGGCGTTAGACTCAAACCATTGGTGATCAAGCCGGTAGAAACCAATGCTGTATGAAAAACACGTGTTTTACGCGTACATTACCACCACTCAGGGCATTGGCCTCTCTAAGCCGGGGCTCTGTTTGCTCCTGAGACAAAGTTGCTTGGAGGCGTTCCCTTTTTTGACCAAACCAGAGTCGAAAGTGGGTGCGGTCATGTGACCCTGGGGTATTTAGAGGCCTGAAGCTCTTCGAGCAGGAATGCCAGACTTGCCTCGTTTTACCTCTTTGGCTTTCCTGCCTTTCCCCTTTCAATGTCTCAACCAGCAAAGACAACTTGTTGCAGGCGGATCAATCTGGCCCAGTTGATCCAAAGCGGAGACTAGACAACATCTTAGTCACAGGGAATGAACCCCCGAAAAGGGGTTTTGCTTCCACCGCCATGCGAGCCCGAAAGCTATGATGTTGAGAGGACTCTCCAACATGATGTGTTTTTTTGGCTTTGCTCATTTTCCTTCCCCTGTTTTGCAGGTAGCTACCACGTTGTGCGATTGTGGTGGTTCCTGGCTGTTTCAAGCTGAAATGGCAGCCTATGAGCATTCCGCTCTATTGAGCTCTCTTCTTGACTGCAATTATTGGGTTGGATCTTTAGACTTTAACTTTTCGGGAAATCAAGCAATTTTCCACTAAACCACCAAACAGTTAAACTTTTTGCGGGGGGGGCAACAGCAACCAAGTCTTTCCCCATGAAAAGCCCAGAGGGCGGCACTTTGAATCGGAGAGCCCAGGTGGTGGTGCGGCCCAGGACGGTGCTGGAGTCCTCGCTGCCTGGGGACCTGGTGGCATACTTCCACAAGCTCCAGGCGGCTTCCGCCCTCGGGATTTCGGGGCGAAAATGGGTTCCCAGTTGCCCAGTGGCGCCTTTGCTTATCCTTTTTTGAACTCGACCAACCAAAAAAGGATGCGCTTGTTTGTCCCATGGCCACTGGGCATCTGAGGGCTGGCCGCCCCTCCCGAAAACGTCGGGCTGTCCCTGAGAGTCAACATTTGAAAGACCACAAAAAAAAGGATACCCTTGCGCAACACGATATTTGTGGAGGTTCCTGGCTTTTTCCAGCTGTTTGCCCTGATAGGCTCCAGAGAGGTTGAAGCCGCGCGCTAGGGTTCCGGAAGCGTGCAAAGGGGGCTGCTGCTGGGGAGATGATTTGTTTTCCCGAAGGGTGCACTTTTTCAGGTTGACCAAAAGGAAGGCCAGCACTATGCAGGTAATTGCCCGTTTCCTTTTTCTGCTTGGTTCCGTTTGGTGTCCCTTTAAGACACAGAGTCCAAAGGTTCGCGACGTCCAGAAATTGGTCCAGTTCCTAAAAGCCAGCCACATTGGTTGTTTGGGGATCAAAGAACACCTGTTTCCGGGCCACATCTTGCTGCAAAGCCTTCAGAAATATTGGTAGCCACTCGAGATGCTTTTTCATACGAATCCCTAAATTTATTCCAACAAATGGTGTCCAGGAGTCTAGGATGCACGTGGGAAAAGGCCATCCGCAGGTACTGTACAGCACAAAACCCATGTTTGGTTGTTGCACAGCTGCAGGTGCCCGCGTCGGCCCACAAGACCTCCTTCCAGCAGCCCGATGGCAGTGGTCGGAAGGAGTTGTGTCGCGTTTGTTTCCAAGAAACCGTCACACCAGTTTCTTTTCTTCTCCAGAAATTGGGCAAATAATATATTATTAAGTTAATTTCATTATATTCGAGGGTCAATTCGTTTTATTCGGGGGTTGTGTTGGGGAAATTTATGGGCCCATTCTTGCAGTTTGAGGTCACAGCCATGCCGCCCCATGTAACCTGTTAACTTACAATGAAGCACATAAAACTAGCAAATGCGCATTTGCAAATGGAGAACATGATTGAGGTAATTATCGCTTATATACGGTGTGTCTCCAGCCCATGCGGCTAGGTCGAGCAAGTTTGGGCACTTAAGGTTGCTTCGGCCTCTGGCGCCTCAACCGGCTGCTGACTGCTCAGGGGCAAATTACTGCTGCCCAACCAGGCTCTCAGTTTGACACTGTCAAACCTGCAGTCGTCTAGCCACACCATTGCAGTTGAAGACGCTTTTCAAAAACCGCCCACAGTCTTCAAGATTTATACTGATTCAAGACGCCAACTGCTTGCAGCTGAGAAAAGCAACGGGGTCAAGCAACTTGCTTTACACTTAGCAGTATTTGCAAGCATTGCTTGCGCCAACTTCTTCCTGCGACACGCTGAGATCTAAGGCACAGTGAGAATGGGAAGGGTTTTATTCGAGTTCAAAAGCTTTTGCTGCGGGGCGAGTGCCGATGTGATCGGGGCAACTGCTTCAACAAGTTTGCTGCAAAGCCAGGCCTACAAGCAGAACTGAACTCCTTCCTGAAAATGTTCTAGGATATAAAACCTGCTCACGACATTCACGAAGGAACCTTAGCTTTGATCTTTCCCGCACAAAATACACATAATCCCTTGAGGCACCCCGACCCCTCCCTGAAATCCACAAGTTCGTGCGGGAAGTCACCATCACCAAGCTCTAGTCCAGCGTTTCCAGCGCATTGGGGCGGTTCCTTTGTTTGAAAGGTCAGGACCATGATTCAGAAATGTTGGCCTGCAACTCCACCCCCTCAAGTTCACAACAACAAGCCGGTCAAGCACATAAAGCGCGACATACTCTTCATGAATCTGTATGATTCCCAACATGTGTGTTGTCCAATGCAGCAAGAGTCAGGCAAAACACTAAGGTTCCAAAAGCTGCCCGATCTCGCAAACCGACACCAGAGGTGGTGAATGTGCCGAAAACGTAAATAATAAACAATGAATATAAATATCATAAGTTATCAAGGCACAACCTTTGTCAGCTGGCCGAATCTACCCCCCCCCCGAGTTGCAAGATCTGATGAGGGTGCAGGCCATGGCAAAGATTTAGAGGTTTCAAAGAAGAACCTGGATGACGATGAGTGATTTGGCCACTCGAACTTGTGGCAAGGCTAGTAGAACCAAATTTTGGGTGCCATTTCGACACCAGAAGGCTGCCACGGGGAAGCCTGAAAATGCTTCATTTTCAGTGTCCATGCAAAGTGTCGCTGCTTGGCTGCTTTGCTTTGGCTGGGCCTCTTTATGATGCGCGGGTTATAGGTGAAGCAAAGGTACTCCCCATTGTTCACACGCTTCACGCGCAAGTTGAAACACCTCCTACAATTGCGCCAAGCTTTCCGGCGTGTGACACGTGCGCCTACTGCAAACAGGTTTGTGGGAACTGTTTTCTAAAGGTCGGTGTTAATGAGTCAGTTGAGTTGCTTGACGCGCCGCTGAGGACTCTACATCAAAATTCGAGCGGCCAGGGCCTACACGCGCCGTCTCGATAAGATTGCAGCTGAAAGGAGCTTGGAAGAAATCTTCCGGGCACAGGGTTTGCTTTGGCTCAGAAAGTGTTGCGATGGTCACTCTGCAGCCAAACGCAGGCCATGAGGCCATTGGACTATCCCTTGCTCCCCTATGCGTTCGCATGCTTACTTGGCTGTTGCAACAATGCTTGCGTATGATGGCGCTGCGGAGACGCAGCCCGGCTTTGGACATGCTGCGATTTTCTCACCCGCAGCACTGTGAGGGTTTCGTGCTTTTACTACGCTGTGTTTGCGCCACCGCCTCCCGGTTGCTTCTCCTCCCGTCTCTTCCGTCCTCGACGCCCTCATTCACTCAGTCTCACCCGCCCACCTATGCTGAGCCACTCGTTCTTTCTGAATCGCCCTCACTCACTCATCGTAACTTCTCACCTACCCATTCGCACTCATTGGCTCTCAGTCGCTCATTCTCAACTAGTCTCACTCATACATTCCCGCTCCCTCATTCTCGCTCGCTCTTTCTCACTTGACTCACTCATTCTTACTTTGCATTCTTACTCACTCAATCTCATGCGTCTCACTCTTGCTCATTTCCGCTCACTCAGTCTGACTCACTCATGAGTCACGCTCACTCCTTTTCACTCATTCTCCCTCGTTCTCACTCCTTCTCACTCATTCTCACTCCTTCTCCTCCACATCACGCATCACCTCCCGTGCCTTTAGCGTCGCCTATCCCTTTATTTCCGCACTTGAGCACTGAAAGAGCGGAGGGAAGGAGTGAGCGAGCAAGTGAGTGAGAATGAGTGAGAGTGAGTGAGTTTGAGGCAGAATGAGTGGAAAGCACAAAGATGAGGGATCAGGCGCTGGTTTTGGAAGCGCAGGTACGGAAGTTTCGCACCACTTCTGAAGGGGTACATAATTCCCAACATGCTTATGCGCACAGTTTTTCATTTACGTGTATGTATGCGCTCGCGAAGCATAGCCCAAAATGGCATCCCTTTACACCAGCCAGCAGAAGGTACAGCACCCTCAAAACAAAGCCGCCTGAGGCCTGAGGCCTGCTGCAACTTCGGCCCAAACTTTCTTTTTGCAACCTTGCCCCTGAAGATCTTTGTACATATCATCAACTCTGGTTTTTTCACTTGGTCAGCGCTCCCTTGGTTCCTGAATAATTTTTCCCTCTCTAAACAGAAGACTGGTGAATACTTGGGAGTGGAAAAGGCGACTATTTGGCATCCCTGGCAAAGGCGACGGTTTGGCATCCCTGGTAAAGGCGACGGTTTCGCTTCCCCGCGGAAGGCGACGATTTGACCCAACAAATCGCCAGTCAGAATAAATGCGTCACCTTTTTGGGGTTCTAATCCTGGAATTTGAAAAGGCGACGGTTTGCCTCAAACCATCACCTTCTGCCCCCTTGCCACAGCCCTCCCCCCCCCTAACCAAGCCAACCTAAGAATGGCTCCCCTTTTCTCAATCGTTCTAAGTTCTTCCGGCCTCCCCTTTTCTCGGATTTTCTCCTTTCGCTCTTCCCTCTGTTTCCTTAGCCTGTCACATCCTGCTGTCAAAAGGCGACGGTTTGTACCGAACCATCACCTTTTGAAAAGCCACAACTTGGATCCCTGAAAGGTGACCCATGTATGCTTTTGATTGCCTGAGTGGCTCCTGAAATTCCTGAAGTTCCTCATCAGCCAACTGATCTCGCAGCGTGATGCCAAACCGTCGCCTTTGCCAGGGATGCCAAATAGTCGCCTTTTTCCACTCCCAAGTATTCACCAGTCTTTTGTTTAGAGAGGGAAACAACCATTCAGGAACCAAGGGAGCGCTGACCAAGTGAAAAAACCAGAGTTGATGATATGTACAAAGATCTTCAGGGGCAAGGTTGCAAAAAGAAAGTTTGGGCCGAAGTTGCAGCAAGGCTCACAAGGACAGGCCTCAGGCCTCAGGCGGCTTTGTTTTGAGGGTGCTGTACCTTCTGCTGGCTGGTGTAAAGGGAAGCCATTTTGGGCTATGCTTCGCGAGCGCATACATACACGTAAATGAAAAACTGTGCGCATAAGCATGTTGGGAATTATGTACCCCTTCAGAAGTGGTGCGAAACTTCCGTACCTGCGCTTCCAAAACCAGCGCCTGATCCCTCATCTTTGTGCTTTCCACTCATTCTGCCTCAAACTCACTCACTCTCACTCATTCTCACTCACTCGCTCGCTCACTCCTTCCCTCCGCTCTTTCAGTGCTCAAGTGCGGAAATAAAGGGATAGGCGACGCTAAAGGCACGGGAGGTGATGCGTGATGTGGAGGAGAAGGAGTGAGAATGAGTGAGAAGGAGTGAGAACGAGGGAGAATGAGTCAAAAGGAGTGAGCGTGACTCATGAGTGAGTCAGACTGAGTGAGCGGAAATGAGCAAGAGTGAGACGCATGAGATTGAGTGAGTAAGAATGCAAAGTAAGAATGAGTGAGTCAAGTGAGAAAGAGCGAGCGAGAATGAGGGAGCGGGAATGTATGAGTGAGACTAGTTGAGAATGAGCGACTGAAAGAGTCAATGAGTGCGAATGGGTAGGTGAGAAGTTACGATGAGTGAGTGAGGGCGGTTCTATGAGTGGCTCAGCACAGGTGGGCGAGTGAGACTGAGTGAATGAGGGCGTCGAGGACGGAAGAGGAGGCGGCGGCGCAAACACAGCGTAGTAAAAGCACGAAACCCTCACAGTGCTGCGGGCGAGAAAATCGCAGCATGTCCAAAGCTGGGCTGCATCTCCGCAGCGCTATCATACGCAAGCATTGTTGCAATAGCCAAGTAGCCCTGCGAACGCATAGGGGAGCAAGGGATAGTCCAATGGCCTCATGGCCTGCGTTTGGCTGCAGAGTGACCATCGCAACACTTTCTAAGCAAAAGCAAACGCTAAGCCCGGATTTTCTTCCAAGCTCCTTCCAGCTGCAATCTTATCGAGACGGCGTGTGTAGGCCCTGGCCCATCGAATTTTGATGTAGAGTCCTCAGCGGCACGTCAAGCAACTCAACTGACTCGTTAACGCGGACCTTTAGAAAACAGTTCCCACAAACCTGTTTGTAGTAGGCGCACGTGTCACACGCCGGAAAGCTTGGCACAATTGTAGGAGGTGTTTCCACTCGCTCGTGAAGCGTGTGAACAATGGGGAGTACCTTTGCTTCACCTATAACCCGCGCATCATGAAGAGGCCCAGCCAAAGCAAAGCAGCCAAGCAGCCCCACTTTGCGTGGACACTGAGAATGCAGCATTTTCAGGTTTCCCCGTGGCAGGCTTCTGGTGCGAAGGGTCTTGAAATTGCACCCAAAATTTGGTTCTACTAGCCTTGGCACAAGTCCGAGTGGCCCAGTCAGTGTTTCAAGGGACTTTCACCTCCTCATCGTTATCCAGGTTCTCTATTGAAACCTCTAAATCTTCGGCAACTCGGGGGGGGGGGGGGGGGAAGCGGTAGTTTAGGCAGTGACAACCCATGACACTCATATCCACTTTCCGTTATCCACACTGTTTCGCCACATTCACCACCTCTGGTGTCGGTTTGCGAGATCGGGCAGCTTTTGGAACCTTAGTGTTTTGCCTGATTCTTGCTGCATTGGACAACACACTTGTTGGGAAGCATACAGACTCATGAAGAATATGTCGAGCTTTATGTGCTTCACCAGCTTCCTTTTGTGAACCTTGGGGGCCGGGGGGGGTGGAGTTGCACAGGCCAACATTTCTGAATCATGGTCCTGACCTTTCAAACAAAGGAACCGCCCCAATGCGGAGCTTGGTGATGGTGACTTCCCGCACGAACTTGTGGATTTCAGGGAGGGGTCGGTGCCTCAAGGGATTATGTGTATTTTGCGCGGGAAAGATCAAAGCTAAGGTTCCTTCGTGAAAGTCGTGAGCAGGTTTTATACCCTAGAACATTTTCAAGCAGGAGTTCAGTTCTGCTTGTAGGCCTGGCTTTGCAGCAAACTTGTTGAAGCAGTTGCCCCGATCACATCGGCACTCGCCCCGCAGCAAAAGCTTTTGAACCCGAATAAAACCCTTCCCATTCTCCCTGTGCCTTAGATCTCAGCGTGTCGCAGGAAGAAGTTGGCGCAAGCAATGCTTGCAAATACTGCTAAGTGTAAATCAAGTTGCTTGACCCCGTTGCTTTTCTCAGCTGCAGGCAGTTGGCGTGTTGAATTAGTATAAATCTTAAAGACTGGCTCGTGGGCGGTTTTTGAAAAGCATCTTCAACTGCAATGGTGTGGCTAGACGACTGCAGGGTTGACAGTGTGAAGCTGATATCCTTCACAGAGCCTGGTTGGGCAGCAGTAATTCGCCGGTTGAGGCGCTAGGGGCCGAAGCAACCTTAAGTGCCCAAACTTGCTCGACCTAGCCGCACGGGCTGGAGAAACACCATATAAGCGACAAGTACCTCAATCATTTTCTCCATTTTCAAGCGCGTATTTGCCAGTTCCATGTGCTTCACTGCAAGCCAACAGGCTACATGGGGCGGCATGGCTGTGACCTCAAACTGCAAAAATGGGCCCATTAAATTCCCCAACACAACCCCCGAATAAAACGAATTGACCCTCGAATATAATGAAATCCACTTTATTGCTATTTGTAAGCGGACCCCAATAATAACAAAGCCTGCTGCCGACGCAAAAAACGGCCGATACTAATTTCAGTTTACTCGATGCTAATCCAATACTAAACTCTCCGGAAACCAGATGATTTCAGCCAAGCTCCCCTGATACGCTTATTGGGGCCACACTGGCAATGATCAATAGGGCTGCCTTGCGCGAGCGGGTCTTATTATTACGGTCTCCATTAGGTTCCATTCAGAAGGTCTTACTCAAGAAATGTATTCTGAGTTTGCGTTTATTTCAATCTGTTGGCTGTGTTGCATGAGCCTTTTGGATTTACTTTTTTTGCGACTTCCCTTCAATAGCTCTTACTCGCAAAATGATTCTAAATACTTGTAGTAAATCAAAAGGGGTCCCCCTTTCCAATTCGAGCCGAATACTAAACGACGCAGTCTGGAGCAGTTCTGCCCAAATCCGAGGGGCCCTAAGAATAAAGCCCCTCCGAGGTTGTTTAGTTGGGAGGGAGGGGGGACCGTTGACAAGAGAACGCACAAAACCTGGGGTGTGGGCTAGCCCTGGAGAAGTTCCTGGTTTGATAGTTGCTTGGATTGTTTCTGTTTGTTGTTGTTGGATTTGGCCAAGGTGGAGAAAGGCGAGCAGACATAGACAGTTGGGTTTGGGGTTGCCACTTTCTGTGAGTGGCCAGAAGGAAGTCCCGTCAAAGTGCTAAAGTAGTCATGGGCATGGAATCTGTTCGTTTTGGTATCAGGACAGGGGCAACCAATACCGTTCCACGAAGTAGACAGAGGGCTCATCTCACAGCGCGTGGACTCCTCCCCCGACTACAAGAAACGCCCGGCCCACCCCTTTTGAACATGACGTGTCTTTTCCTGTGCGTGTCCAGTTGGTGAACCAGGTGAAAAAGCAATTACTAAGTTCTTTCCTATGGTCGTCAAGGGCCACCCAATGGCGCACCTCCCCAAGCGGGTCCTATATATTGGAGTGTCCCGGTCTTTCCCCGAAAATTCCCTTGTTGTATAATGGTTGCTTCCACTTGGTGTGATGCACCATTGAAATAGAGATCAGAACACTGATCCATCAGACGCATGACATATGGCAATCGTGCACAATGGATTTTTAAAGACAGATGTGGAACAATGAATTATTTCTTGGTGGTTCCCTGGAAGGAAGATCCCTCAACCCTTTTGAGGATTCCTGTGCACATCAGGAGTTGCCGCCATGTTGTATTTTGGGCCATAGGCAAATTTTTGTTCGGGGGGTCCAACCAAAGAATGTCAGACTTGTCGAAGGAGTTTGCCCTGGACACGTTGACTTCCCCCAGGGCTCGGATCATTTTGTCCAAGATGTGTGGTATCCCAAAGGCGACTGCCGCTTTTTGATGGTTGAAAACGTCACCTTTTAGGGGCCAAGTTCGCCTTTGGAGCGATGTTTGAAGGGCAAAGATATCGAGTTCCTTTGGGTGGAGTGATGTTTCCGGGGAAATCCCGGGAAACCTTTGTAGCCCCTAGATTTCTCGTAGAACCCCACCTGCCTCGTTTCCCAGGTTCACCGTGGGTGTGTCCGCCCAGCAGCTGCCGCAGCTGCTGCGAGTTGCGCCGCCCATCCGGCACCTCACCACGAAAGTGGCCGCCCTGTGCCGGACCGAGCGACGGAGTCGGCCGCCAGTTAGTTGCTGGGCAGAGCTTCCTCTTAGTTCCCATGCCCCGTTTTGTGGAACTCCGAAACGGGGGCAGTTTAGGAACCCGCCACTTAGTTGCAACTTTAGCAAATGTCATTCCATTGGCTGAAATCAATATGTCTTGTCTTCCCCTGTTGGTTTTAAAGGGAATGTATCACCTTTGGACATATATTGTTATTTCTTCCAGGGGGCTTAATAAAATGGAGGTTTCTCGTTTTGTGGAACTCTAAACAGGGCACAGTTTACGAACCCACCAGTTTGTTTGGGCACCAATTTCGATGGGGACAACAAAAATCAGTGCCTCGAAGTACCGAATCTTCCAAAAGCAAAGACCTTCTCAAAGTGGTTGGACACCTTAATTTGTTCGCTCTTAGGTTTCCTCGTGTGCCAAGCTGCTGTTATTTATTTCCCTTGGCCGGGCAAGTCAGATTTGGCCGTACGAGCCATGGCAAACTTGTCCCCAAAAAAGGGCAACAGAACCCAGGGGCATTTGGCAAATGTTGGGAACGTACTTGAGGTCGAGGTAGGCTACATGTGTCATGCTCGTGACATCGGCTGAAACAAAGTGTAGAAGATAGGTGGAGAAAAATATGTTTGGCTGTTGAAATCTAGCAAGTTCAATTGGCTTTACCCGCAGGAGAGGCAATGTGCAATCATCTACTCTCTCTCTCTCACCTTTGGAGGCCAACATTGGAGATCCGGGGCCAAAGTAGATGGCGAATCTTCATGAGCTTGGTAGGTTTTTGTGTGTATTTGTTGTTTTTCTTTTGTTCTTCCTAAAAAGGAAATCTATATATGGCCCAAGCAACATACGTAGCAAATGGGTTGTCCAAACTGGGACGCGAACTCAGCGGGCTCCTAACTCATTGGACGCAACCAGGCGTCCAAGTTCACGCTCTGTCGCTGGCTTGAATTGCCGGGCCGGGTCATGGGCCACGGCCACCCACATGGCGGTTGGAGCTCGGCGGAAGGGAAGCCCACAGCCACCCTGATGTCGGCTCAGCCGGGCTGGGTGACAACTGGTCTCTTGTCTCTTGTTGGGAGGACGCAAATTTGTTTGCTTGTAGCGAAGGGTTTACCCTAACAGAATGGAAAGCCTCAGTTTCTTGATCTATCCGTGATATGCTCTCAGATGTTCCTCGTTGACTCCGTGGGACCCGGAAACAGCAGGAACGCAAACGAGGGCAAGGCAGAAGCCTATTGCCCCCCAGATGAATCAACAGTAGCGAGAGCCTTCTACATGATGGGTTTCAGGTTGATTCCATTTCCTACCAACGCAGCGAGTCCGCTTGCGCTTGCCATGCCCGGCGGGCATGCTGCTACTGTTGGTGTTTTGACCTTCTGTTTCGGCCATTTTGGTTTTGTGTTTGGTTCTGACAGACCAACTAACACTAGCTTTGATGCGATTGAGATCTACTCTTTTTCCAACAATCATGGAACAGGACGATGGGCTCTCCCAAAGGCAAAGTGGTCTTGCAAACCCTTCCTGTCAGCTTCCATGATGGTTGGGAGGGTATATCACGTGCCCCAAAAGTGTGCATGGAAGAGGCTTTGGAAGTTTGTTCTTCTCTTGGGGCAGAGGGGAATGGTCCGCTAGTGGCTGAACAGTGGTTCGAGACACTTCCAGGTCTATCGGCATGGTTCAGGGGTAGTGGCCACAGTCGGCGTCAGCGTACA